CCAAATGCTTACAATAGCAACAACCCCATGACTTACCCACCTGGTGACCCCAACCAAGTGCCAGTCTACAACCATTCTCAGGGAAGACCAGGTTATGGCCAGGGATTCCAGGGTCAGAACACGTACCTGCCCCCACAGAATAACTCCCAGCAGCAAGGCCAGTATGGACCTGGGTTAGGCAGAGGAGAGGCCAACAAGCCGAAAAATCAGAAGCAAGGACAACAACTGTGGCACCGCATGAAACGTAATGTTTTTTTTCTTACTCATACAGGTGCTTTTTCCCGTTTAACTTGTTCCATTCCACGTCACTGGACTATTTTTCACTTCTTCTTCTTCTCACACAGAGGCACCTGGGACAGCGTCTGTGAAGTTCAATATCCCCAAAAGGCCTCATCAGGTTCAGTGTTCTCCAGTTTCCAGTCAGGCCTTTTCTTCAGATGAACAGCCCTCAGCTGTGAATCCAGCCCCCACCTCTACAGCTACAGGCAGCACTGCACAAGGAGGCCCTCAGACCATGTGAGAGCATGACCGTCTCCTGTCCATAACTATGCCAAAGTTTACACTGCCTTCAACTCCTCATTCTTTTAATATTTGAACCACATTTCTCACTTCAGACCTCAGGACTGGCCTCCATCTATGAAAGAATATGTGCAGCGTTGTTTTACAGCCTGCGAGACAGAAGAAGACAATGATCGAACAGAAAAGGTGCTGAAAGACATTTTACAGGACAGGTTGAAGGATGGCTCTGCATACACCATTGACTGGACACGTGAGCCACTTCCTGAGTAAGTTGAATCTGAATAGTAGTTAAAAGTCTGTCTTTAATTGTGTTAAATGACAACATTCAAACTTGTCCATTGATAATATTTTGGTCAACTATTTTTGTCTTCATTTTATCTTCTAAGACTGAATATTTAGTAAGAGTTGAGATATTTTTCTTTGTAGACTTAAAGTAAGGCAATCTCGTTGGGAAGCTGTTCAGAACCAGAGGACCCCCGACAGCTCGGCTAGCCGTGGTGGAAGTACAGTGGCTGCAGCTTCTAGAGGCAGGGGGGGACACAGGTTGGGCAACTACAGAAATGTATTCTCTCAAAGGAGTCCTTCTTCTAGTTCCTCTCGTTCTTCCTCCCATTCTCCGTCCCCCTCCCATGGCCGTCACAGGGACCGCAGCAACCAAAGACACAGGAGAAGGTCAGAGCTGTGGGTTTTATGGTGGACCTTGTCTTTGCTTTGGTGAAATTGCAAAACAAACCACTCATGTCTTTGTGCTTCCAGTGATTCTGACTCACAGTCGGATAGCAGCATCTCGAGTGACCTCCGACCTCAGCTGTCAAGACGAAATCAGAAAG